GCTATATAATGTCAAAAGAAAAGCAAATGTCTGGTATACATATCCTAGCTAACAGCAGAAAATGAAATGTAGTATGATACACTCCTAAAGTCCTGGAGGCAGTGACCTTAGTGCTGAAAGGAGAAGAGCAATATGTCACAAGATAATGTCATGTCGTTGAACCACTAAAAGTGGGATGGTCTCAGAGGGAGTGAATGCAGCCTAAGAATCGAAACTCCTAAGGGCAGTCACACATGAAGGTGGGATAGGTCATCAGGCTCAAGGTGGGAGAGTGGTAGCGAAACAAAACCAATCACCCTAATAGATAGACCATCAAGGCGGGTAATGCTCGACAAGGGTGACACCATGCAGGGTCGACCGTGAAAAGGGGGAGCCTGGAATAGGGTGGAGATATGCCTAACTGAAGGCATGCAAGGGCCGACACTAGGGTGATGAGGGCAGTGGGTGAGGGAAACATGCACACAACTCACCGACTGGGGGAGGAAGGAGCTAGATCTGGGAGCAGGAAAGCCAAGATAACGCTACGGTCCCAATGCCTATGCGATACCAAAGGAGAACCCAACTCAAAGAGACCCAACTAAGTGAGAACCATCATGCGACAGATGCAAGGGAATGTACAGGGTAGGGTGGTGGCGTGAAGTAGTCACGTCCAAAGTAGCTGAAGCCGATAAGGTAGYTGAAGTCGTCGAATCGGTCGATGACATCGATGAAGTAGCAGTCGAGTCGATGTCGAAGCAGAGCCGCAAAACGCTGACATCCTGWAGAAGAGCTGATGATGGAGTACCTGATGGTGTGAGTCAGTGGGGAAAGATGGAGGATAAGAGTGTCAGTCATCGTAACGTGAAGAGCGACGATGAGTGCGCTGTGGACGCTCGGAGGCGACCATCTGCGGCTGAGGAACGGCCTCAAAGGGAGCGGGCTCATCCTCAGCGATCTCCTCAGYCGGAGGAGGAGGAAGAGGGTCASTCGGCTGAGTAGAAGCAGATGTCCCARCACGACGAGCACGATCATATGCACGCACCAACATCCTGGCGTGCTGCAAGTGCTCGAGGGGCTCCCAAGTAGCCTCCTCATCAGGGTAGCCCTTCCAACGCACAAGGTACTCGATGCGTGGAGAGGTATCGTCGGTAACTCGGCGTGATACGATGTYGRAAACAACGAWCTCCTCGTGACCGTCCACCATGATAGGTGGAGGGCGCTCATAAGGGCGTCCGGCGAAGCGCTCGGACGGTCTGCGATAAGGACGCAGCAAGGAGACGTGGTAAACATCGTGTACGTGAGCCTGTCGAAGGTAATCAGGTAGCTTCACACGGAAGCTGACCGGACTAGCGACAGTATCAGAGCCGACGGCCTGAAGGATGCGGCATAGACCGAAGAAACGACGCCTGAACTTGCGAAGCATATCCGCTTCGAGCTGTAAGTGGCGTGCGTCGACGAGCACATCGTCACCGACTTTGAATGGATGATCCATTCGTGATCGGTTCGCTCGTGCGGCCATGCGAGTCTGGGAGTCGGCTAAACTCTCGTGTGCGCGCTTCATAATCGCCGCCATGTGGGCGATCCAGTCGTCAAGCGCAGGGCAACGAGTGTCTGGGCGCAACCGYGATGGTCGTAGGAAATCCGCAGGTACGYGAGGGTGGTAGCCGAGGTCGCAATAGAATGGCGACATCCCCGTGGCKKGCGAAACAGCGTRGTTGTACRCAATCTCCGCGTGGGCTAAGTGTAAGTCCCACTGCTGGTCATCCCTAACAAACTTTCGAAGGATATTACCGGGAGTTTTGTTGGTGACCTCAGTCTGACCATCCGTCTGAGGGTGGTAAGACGATGAGAAGCGGAGCTGGGATCCGTACACCTCGTGTAGGCGTCGATAGAATGTGCTGGTAAAGCGCGGGTCACGGTCGGAGATGATGCTCTGAGGTAAGCCGTGATTTCTCACGACTCGGTCGAAGACGATGTCGGCGACCTCACGAGCGCTAATGCGATAGCGGCACGGAACAAAACGTGCACGCTTCGTGAAGCGATCGACGACGACCAAGATAGCATCATGACCGCGCTGAGTGGGTGGTCGGAGGGGACCAATGAAATCCATCGAGATAGACTGCCAACGACCTTCAGGTATAGGTAGGGGCTGAAGTAACCCATACGGAAGGTGGTTCACACTGTTCACCTCCTGGCAGGTAGGACACTCCAAGGTGTAGGCTTTGACAAAGTCCTTGGACTTCGGCCAGACGTATAGGCGGTAAACACGAGCCAACGTCTTGTGGAAACCCATATGACCGGCAACTGCCTGGTCATGGAACTCTGCTACAGCCTGGACGCGGAGCTGTCCGGTGGAGGGAACGCAGATACGTGGTTCTAACTGACCAGATCTGCCATGCCAGTACACGAGGCNGTGAGAACCATCATGCGACAGATGCAAGGGAATGTACAGGGTAGGGTGGTGGCGTGAAGTAGTCACGTCCAAAGTAGCTGAAGCCGATAAGGTAGCTGAAGTCGTCGAATCGGTCGATGACATCGATGAAGTAGCAGTCGAGTCGATGTCGAAGCAGAGCCGCAAAACGCTGACATCCTGAAGAAGAGCTGATGATGGAGTACCTGATGGTGTGAGTCAGTGGAGAAAGATGGAGGATAAGAGTGTCAGTCATCGTAACGTGAAGAGCAACGATGAGTGCGCTGTGGACGCTCGGAGGCGACCATTTGCGGCTGAGGAACGGCCTCAGAGGGAGCGGGCTCATCCTCAGCGATCTCCTCAGCCGRAGGAGGAGGAAGAGGGTCACTCGGCTGAGTAGAAGCAGATGTCCCAGCACGACGAGCACGATCATATGCACGCACCAACATCCTGGCGTGCTGCAAGTGCTCGAGGGGCTCCCAAGTAGCCTCCTCATCAGGGTAGCCCTTCCAACGCACAAGGTACTCGATGCGTGGAGAGGTATCGTCGGTAACTCGGCGTGATACGATGTTGGAAACAACGATCTCCTCGTGACCGTCCACCATGATAGGTGGAGGGCGCTCATAAGGGCGTCCGGCGAAGCGCTCGGACGGTCTGCGATAAGGACGCAGCAAGGAGACGTGGTAAACATCGTGTACGTGAGCCTGTCGAAGGTAATCAGGTAGCTTCACACGGAAGCTGACCGGACTAGCGACAGTATCAGAGCCGACGGCCTGAAGGATGCGGCATAGACCGAAGAAACGACGCCTGAACTTGCGAAGCATATCCGCTTCGAGCTGTAAGTGGCGTGCGTCGACGAGCACATCGTCACCGACTTTGAATGGATGATCCATTCGTGATCGGTTCGCTCGTGCGGCCATGCGAGTCTGGGAGTCGGCTAAACTCTCGTGTGCGCGCTTCATAATCGCCGCCATGTGGGCGATCCAGTCGTCAAGCGCAGGGCAACGAGTGTCTGGGCGCAACCGYGATGGTCGTAGGAAATCCGCAGGTACGYGAGGGTGGTAGCCGAGGTCGCAATAGAATGGCGACATCCCCGTGGCKKGCGAAACAGCGTRGTTGTACRCAATCTCCGCGTGGGCTAAGTGTAAGTCCCACTGCTGGTCATCCCTAACAAACTTTCGAAGGATATTACCGGGAGTTTTGTTGGTGACCTCAGTCTGACCATCCGTCTGAGGGTGGTAAGACGATGAGAAGCGGAGCTGGGATCCGTACACCTCGTGTAGGCGTCGATAGAATGTGCTGGTAAAGCGCGGGTCACGGTCGGAGATGATGCTCTGAGGTAAGCCGTGATTTCTCACGACTCGGTCGAAGACGATGTCGGCGACCTCACGAGCGCTAATGCGATAGCGGCACGGAACAAAACGTGCACGCTTCGTGAAGCGATCGACGACGACCAAGATAGCATCATGACCGCGCTGAGTGGGTGGTCGGAGGGGACCAATGAAATCCATCGAGATAGACTGCCAACGACCTTCAGGTATAGGTAGGGGCTGAAGTAACCCATACGGAAGGTGGTTCACACTGTTCACCTCCTGGCAGGTAGGACACTCCAAGGTGTAGGCTTTGACAAAGTCCTTGGACTTCGGCCAGACGTATAGGCGGTAAACACGAGCCAACGTCTTGTGGAAACCCATATGACCGGCAACTGCCTGGTCATGGAACTCTGCTACAGCCTGGACGCGGAGCTGTCCGGTGGAGGGAACGCAGATACGTGGTTCTAACTGACCAGATCTGCCATGCCAGTACACGAGGCTGTTCTCCCCGAGGGAGTAGGAAGGAACGGTCTTGCCACTTCGCAGTGTCGCGTGGATGACGCGATAATCGGGGCAGTGGCGGTACTGAGTGCGATACGCGTCGATCACCGACTGATCAACACTGGTGATGGAGATGACAGCAAGATAGATGGGTTCCTGATTGTGATCAGGACGGCGGGACAAGGCATCGGTGACGCGGTTCGTTTCACCCTTGATGGGCTGAGTGGTGAAACTGAACTCGGATAAGTCACGCCACCAGCGTGCCTGTCAAGGGGAAAGCTTAGGCTTCGTGAGGAAAGCCTGGACAACTCAGTTGTCCGTGCGCACCGTGAAGGGCGCCCAGTGCAGATAATGACGCCAATGCCGGGTAGCATAAACTACTGCGAGAACCTCACGTTCATCGGCAGTGTAGTTTATCTCGGCAGGTAGTAGCTGACGGGAGTAGAAAGCGATCGGGCAATCCCCAGCACGAGCCTCGACAGTCCCATCCTCCGCGATGGTCGGGGAGTAAGTAATGGGGGGACTGTCAGTGGAGGGAAGTGGTGGTAGGATAGGCGTCAGTCGAGAAGCAGTGTCAGCAGGAGGGGGGGGAAAAGGAGGAACATGGGGGTAAGGTGAATCTGGAGGAGAGGGAAACACCTGAGAAAGGACAACTCCTACTGCAAAATCTGACGCATCGGTAGTGACGATAAAGAGACGATCAAAATCGGGAAGGCGAAGAACCGGCGCGCAAGTCACCGTCTTCTTGAGGGCGCGGAAGGCGTCCTTGCAGAGGGGTGTCCAAAACCACGGCGGGTTCTTCCGGAGGAGGGTGGAGGTAAGGACGTAGGAATACCTAGCGTATCCCTGGATAAAATTACTATAGTAGCTGGTGAGGCCTAGAAAGCTACGAAGCTGCTTGGCAGATGTGGGGACGGGCCACTCTGCAATAGCAGTGATCTTCGCGTCGTCCATATGGAGACCCTGGTCAGACACATGGTCTCCTAGGAAGTTTACTTTGCGCTGGGCAAAAAGGCACTTACTGAGCTTGGCATAGAAGCCATGCTTGCGTAAGCGCTGTAGGACATCGCGGAGGTGTCTGATATGGTCTTCTAAGGTACGAATGTAGACCAGGATGTCGTCCAGGTATACGAGAACGTATTCTTCAAGGATGTCCCTGAAGATGTCGTTCATCGCCGTCTGGAAGGTGGCGGGTGCATTGGTGAGGCCGAATGGCATCACCGTGAACTCGTAGTGGCCGAGGCGCGACCGAAAGGCGGTCTTCGGCTGGTCCTCTGCGGCAACTCGGATCTGGTGGTAACCGCTACGAAGATCGATCTTCGTGAAGAAGCGGTTGCCTGCCAGACGGTCAAACAGCTCATCCGCGCGGGGCATGGGATAGCTGTTCTTAACCGTGTAACGGTTAAGGCTGCGATAATCGATGCAGAGGCGGAGAGTTTCGTCCGCTTTGCGAGCAAAGAGGACAGGTGCACCCCAAGGGGAGTTACTAGGTTTAATGAAACCAAGTCGAAGGAGCTC